TATATGTAACTACAAAGAGGATAAAAATAAATGGGTATAATACGGTTCAAAGTGTTTTTCAAAGTTTGATCTGAAGATCCTTGAAAGTCTCTGAGATCCTTTTGATGGTCATCAAGGTAAACTACTTTTATAATATCAAGATTTTATTTTCCTGTTTCATTCTTATTCTCTCGAATTACAGTATAAATTTTCAGCACAACATATGTGATATTGTGACAGATACAGTGAATGGAGAAGCAGGCACAAAAATCTTTATCTTTTATTAAATCAGACATGAAAGCTATTCTAAGAATAAACCTACTATTCTCAGTAAATCTTGTTCATTGAACTAAGTACCTCACCTTCTCATCAAAGTAAAAAAGTAGTTATTTTTCATTAAAAGTATGTTATTTATATTAATACATAATTTATGTATTTTGATATTTTAAAATGATTCATAACTAAATATTTTAAATTTCTACCACCAAAATGATTTTTAATGATTAGTCACCTGATGATTCCATTAGGTCCTTATTTGATCCTATTAATATTTGAAACTACCTGAATGGCCTGAGTTGTAAAAGGCCATTTTCATTTTTAACAACAGTATCAATATTTCAGATTCTTAATTTGTTTTGTGTCCTGGAGGTTTTTAAGACAGAAAAATTTTCCACAGTGAGATCAGTGATAGATAAGAAATGTGAGGGGGCTTCAAAAATGAATGGAAATTGTGTAGTATGAAAAATTATGCATGGATTAAAAAATATTTTAATATCAAAAGAAACTTGTACTAACTTCTCTGAACAGGATCTAGTTTGATGCACTAAGAAGCATAAAACATCAGTTTGAAAAGAACCCCTATCAGAGCAACATGAATTTTGCTAAAATTGAAGTAAGAACAAACATCAAATTGATGGTGAAGTTTGGGTGGGAGACTTGGGAAGTCATCAGTGCTTTACCAAAGTTTATGGAGACAACACCTCAAAAATCAGCAATTTATAAATGGATAACTCATTTTAAGAAGGGACAAGATGATGCTGAAGATGCAGTAGACTGTCCACATCAATTTGTGAGGAAAAAAATTCATCATGTTTGTGCCCTAATTGAGGAGCACTGATGATTATAGCGGAAACAATAGCCAACACCACAGACATTTCAGTTGGTTCAGCTTACACACTTCTGACTGAAAAAGTAAAGTTGAGCCAACTCTCCAGTCGATGGGTGTCAAAACTGTGGCCCAGATCAGTGCAGTCAAGAGCAGAGCTTTCGATGGAAATTATAAACAAGTGGGAGTAGGATCCTGAAGCATTTCTTTGAAGCATTGGAACAGGGGATGGACATGGCTTTACCAGCATGATCCTAAAGACAAAGCACAATCAATGCAATAACTACCAGGAGGTGGAAGTGGTCCAGTCAAAGCAAAAGTGGGCCAGTCAAGAGCAAAGGTAATGGCAACAGTTTTTTTGAGATGCTCAAAGCATTTTGCTTGTTGGCTTTCTGGAAGGCAGAGAATGAGAACATCTGCTTATTATGAGAATGTGTTGAGAAAGTTAAGTTGGCTACAGCTTTAACAGAAAAGTGCTTCTCACTGGAGAGGAGAGTCCTTCTCCACCACAGCAATGCTCCTGCTCATTCCTCTCATCAAACATGGGCCATTTTGTGAGTTTTGATAGGAAATCGTTAGGCATCCACCTTATAGTCTTGATTTGGCTCCTTCTGCCTTATTTTTGTTTCCTAATCTTAAAACATCTTTAAGATCACCTATTTTTCTTCAGTTACTAATGTAAAAAATACTTCATTGACATGATTAAATTTCCAGGACCCTCAGTTCTTTGAGGATGGACTAAATGGCTGGTATCATTGCTTACCAAAGTGCCTTTTTTTTTTTTTTTTTTTTTGAGACTGAGTCTCATTCTGTCACCCAGGCTGCCTGGAGGGCAGAGGCACGATCTTGGCTCACTGCAACCTTCACCTCCTGGGCTCAAATGATCCTGTCACCTCAGCCTCCTGAAGAGCTGGGATTACAGGCTTGTGCTACCACGCCTGGCCAATTTTTATATTTTTAGTAGAGACAGGGTTTCACCATGTTGGCCAGACTGATCTCGAACTCCTGACTTCAAGTAATCCACCCAACTTGGCCTCCCAAAGTGCTGGGATTACAGGCATGAGACACTGTGCCTGCCAGAAGTGTCCTTTTTTTTTTTTTTTAAAGTTAATTTTAATTTTATTTTAAAAAGTTGACAGACAGTAATAGTGCATGTTCATGGGGTACATAGTGGTGTTTTGATACACATAATGTATAAAGATCAGATCGGGATAACTAGCATATCCATCATCTCAAATGTTTATCATTTCTTTATGTTGGGAATGTTCAATAGTTACTTGAAACTATATATTATTGTTAACTACAGTCATTCTACAGTGGTATAGAACACTAGTGCTTATTCCCCCTAGCTAGTTGTAATTTTCAGTGTCTTGAACTTGATAGAGCTTATGTTGAGCAATGAAGCTTCTATTTTTAATAATATATTTCTTTTTACTTTATAAATTTTATTCTATAAACCATTTATTTATTTTTGAAACAGTGTCTCACTCTGGAGTGCAGTGGTGCCATCTCAGCTCACTGCAACCTCTGCCTCCTGGTTTCAAGTGATTCTCATGCCTCAGCCTCTGGAGTAGCTGGGATTACAGGCATGCACCACCAGGTCTGGCTAATTATTGTGTTTTTAGTAGAGGTGGGGTTTCACCATGTTGGCCAGGCTGGTTTTGAACTCCTGGCCTTGGCCTTCCAATGTGCTGGGATTACAGGTGTGAGTCACTGCAGCCAGCCGATAATCTACTTTTAATTTCATTTTCCTATGAACTTTTTGAAGTTCCCTCATAGATCTGTCTTTTGAAGGTGGGAAAAGAGTGACTATGAAAGGGGAGGAGGAAAAGAACATGTTCTCAGGCAGATATGTCTCAAGAGAGTACATAGGTGAGAGTTGAGGATGGAAATTAAACCCTTAAGACAACCTATGTGCATGTAGCCCTTAGAAAGTCTTCAGGTTCCCCTAGCAGTAGCATATCCCATTTGGAAGACACCCTGGCTTTGATGGTTTAGATGGTAATCTCACACCTCGTATATTAATGCAATCACGTCAATATGTATGCAGGAGTTTAGGGAGGAAGGTATGGCGCTGGAATAACTGATAGCCTCGACTGGTTTGAAGAACATTGAAAGTAAACAAAATTGATTTCTATAGTGGAATTTGTAAAGCACCTTGTGTATTTGCTTTGATTACCATATTAACTTTGTGGGACATCTATGACGGAATTTTTTTTTTTTTTTTCTGAGAGAGGGTGTCACTCTGTCACCCATGATGGAGTGCGGTGGCATAATCTCAGCTCATTGAAGCCTTAACCTCCTGGGCTCAAATGATCCACCCACCTCAGCCTCCTGAATAGTTGGGACTCTAGGTGCATGTCACCATGCCCAGTTAATTTTTGTATTTATTTATTTTTGTAGAGACAGGGTTTCACCATGCTTCCCAGGCTGGTCTCAAACTCCTGGGCTCAAGCGATCCACCTGCCTTGGTAACCCAAAGTGTTAGGATTACAGTGGTGAGTCACTGTGCCTGGACATGACCGGGATTTTTGCCTCCATTTTACAGATTAAAAAAAAGAGGCTCAAAAAATTAAAAAATTAAGCAATCAGTTATTTTAAAGACAGAGTCTTGCTCTGTTGCCCAGGCTGGAGTGTAGTGGTGTGATCATAACTCTTTGCTGCCTTGAACTCATGGGCTCAAATGATCCTCTTGCCTCAGGCTCTCAAGTAGCTGGGACTACAGGTGCATACCAGAGAACTTCTCAAACTTTTTTAGACATATGGTCTTCCTATTGTGTCCAAGCTAGTTTTAAACTCCTGGCCTCAAGAGATCTTCCTGCTTTAGCCTCCTGAGTAACTGAAAGAATATTTTTTTGATAGATGGTTATCCAGGAAGTCCTTTAATAGTACGTTTAATTATTATCACAAGTGGCAAAATATTTTTGGAAGTTTGAATACTAATTTACTCTCATTTGGTCATGAACCTTGACAGTCTGTAAGTAAGCTATTCAGCTTCTGCATATCTGAAACAAGGTGGCTAATCAATCATTAACCACTAGCAAATCTATAACCACCGGCCACACTAAACATGGAATATCTTGCATGGTGCATATTTACATTTGTTGCGTACTGATGGAGTTGAGCCGTATATAGCGAGAAATGTTATTAACCCTATCCATACCTTTCTTTTTTGGGGGCTCTACTGCAGTTTGTATTAATCTCCCTCACTATAGATGAACTGCAATAAGTTATAAGTTTGTTATAAGTTTAAATCAGGTTAATTTCTACCTTTTAGGTGAATGGAGCAAGAGTATCACCTTGGTTTGTTTTAGTGATTATGATTACTTTTTTCAATGTCATTTTTCGCTCTCAGGCATACCAAAATTAAACATTAAGTGCCATTATCATGAGTTCTGAATATAAACACTTGAGGATAGGCAGAATTCTATGATTTATAAGTCTTTTTTGTACTGTATGTTTTAGATGTTGAAAAGTACTCTGCTTATTAAAAATTAAATTTGTGACTTTTATAAGAAAGCGAATGATGAGGTAGCTGTGAAGAGACCAGAATTTGTATTCACATTGCTGGGTGTCCTCTTCTTGACTGCTGTGCTTCCTACTTCCAAAGAAAGTTCTAGACCTGGAGTATCATGTTAGTGTCCTGAGGAAATGTAGTTTCTGTAAGGGCCAACTTTCTTCCATCTCCAAAGAAGAAAAAGAGTCAGTTTTCCAAATATGTTTTAATATGCATATCATCCAGGCAGCATAATGTTATATTTCAAAGACAAATTTATCCATTTAATTATTGTTTTAAAAAGTTGGGATTCTCTACATAGAATATATTTTCTGAAATTTCAAGAATATTTTCAGGTAAATTAAGAATTAATTTCTTCTAAGACTACTCAGCGTGTCTCAATCTATTCCATAATATAATCAATGATAAAGATTCACATGTATCACCAAATTCAAGGCAGCTTAGTTGAAAAAATTTGAAACAGCTTACTGAATTCCTGGAAGAAAATAAAACACCTTTTAAATGTAGGTAAAAAGTATACTGAACTTAAATATTTTTTACTTGAGATCAAAGTTTCTTTTCCAGAATTAGGAGCATCCATATCAAATCATTCTTTAGTTATCTCTAAGGATATTTGGTTCTAGACATTTTCACATGTTAAACAATTAACTTTGCTTGTTGGTGCAAGAAAAGCTTATTTTTGTTACATTTCTTAAGTTCCATCTAAGAATGGCAGATGGGTTTATGGGTTTATCTGCTCTGGTAGCTATCACTAGTGGCTGCTTGCAGTATTACAGTAGGAAGGTTCTGAGGCTCCGTCAGTGAGTGGAGACAGGGTCATGATGAACTGAAGTGTGTCTGCGATAGGCCTCTATGTGTGTGTGTGTGTATTGGGGCGAAGAACACAGTCTGCTTCCAAATATTTTCAGTTCTGACCCAAAATGGAACATGTGTTATGCCAACAATTAAAAATCTTTCAGGCCAGGCATGGTGGCTCATGCCTGCAATCCCAGCACTTTGGGAGGCCGAGGTGGGCAGATTGCTTGAGGCCAGGAGTTCTAGACCAGCCTGGGCAACATGGCAAAACCCCGTTTTTACAAATAATACAAAAATTAGCCAGTATGGTCAGGCACGGTGGCTCACGCCTATAATCCCAGCACTTTGGGTGGCCGAGGCGAGTGGGTCACTTGAGGTGAGGAGTTCGAGACCAGCCTGGCCAACATGGTGAAACCCTGTCTCTACTAAAAATACAAAAATTAGCCAGGTGTGGTGGTGTGCACCTGTAATCCTAGCTGCTCGGAGGCTGAGGCATGAGAATCGCTTGAACCTGGGAGATGGGGGTTGCAGTGAGCCAAGATCACACCACTGCACTCCAGCCTGGGCAACAGAGCAGCACCCTGTCTCAAAACAACCAAAAACACTCACACACATTCTTCCTTCAGTGTTAATACCAGAGGATTGGTGGCTGAGTAAAAATACTCCCTCGTTGCTGGAGTCAACTATGAGTGAGTAAAGGGGCTTCCTAATCTTACTAAGACCTGCATTTGTCAAGGCAAGACAAAGAACTCCTCTTTTCCATTCTGCAGATGACTTTTATAGCCAAGAAGTATGTTCCAAGCTAGGAGAATTTACCATTTGGTTATTCTGTGGTGGTTTCCTCGGTGGCATGTGTGCTCCTTTGGATGCCTGCAGGGGTGGTCACTGCAAAATCATCATCTGTGCCACTGGGAGTTGGGAGGCGGCCGGCTGGGGTTCCCTGGATGGCAGGATTTACACCTGCTTGTCCTGCTGGAAGGCTTCCATCCTGGACATCTGGATTAGCCCCTGCCTGACTGGTGGGCAGGATGCCTCCCGGGAACAAGGAATGGATGATGAGGCTCGTGAAGATTTGTGGCTGGAATGAGGGAGGCAAACAGAAAACAAAGTTAAAAGCAACACATTTTAAAGCCTTTTCTTTTTTAAGGGGAGCAAGTTTGGGTAGCAATGGAAAGATGGAGAGAGTAAAGTCAGAGAAGACAGCAAAGACCTGGCATTCCTCAGGGTAAATACTGCCTCGCTCCAGCCTAGTCTGATTCAATACCAGGACTCTTTGCTATGCTCCATTTCCCTCAGAAATGGAAAGCCAGAATCAAGCCAGTCCTGGGAAAAGGAACAACAATTTTTTATTATCAGCTGAATCTGGAGGTAGAATTAAGGCAGAAAAATCCATACAATTATGATGGGCTTTATCTCTGGAATTAAACCTAACATGTGATCTTTCTTTTGCTCATAACATTTTTTTTTCCAAAAAAATATGAGATTAAAAATTAATGGAAAAATCTATTCAAGTAGATTAATCCTCATGACTTTCATCCCTTCAAGTTTTTTTTGATGTATTTTTCAAAGGCATTGGAATATTCAGTCAGAAACATTTATTCTGGCAATTCGGCTATTGTGTGTTCCTTGAGGATAGATAGATAATTCCTGTCTATTGGAATTTTTTATTTTTAGAGAGATCCTGATCGAGCAGATCTGGAGCAGGACCTAGCAATCTGCCTTTTTAACCAGCTTTTGATGCCATCCTGATTTGCTGGGCAAGGAATGAAGTTTGGGAAACACTGTGTTACATTCAAGAGATATTGAAACCAGAATTAGACTTACGCTAGATGACAGAAGCAGAGTATAGACGTTTTCAAACTGAGGGTTGTGATATCCACAGTTTTGAAGTGAAAAAGGTGAGTGGCAGTCATCATTAAATAATAAAACAGGCAGTAGACTAGTAGTGCATTCTATATAGTAAACGTGAATGCTGTTTCATGAACGTGTGTGTGTGTGTGTGTGTGTGTGTGAAGCTGCATGAAAAATGTAGTTGCTATTGTGATTTGTATTAAAAATGTTTGAAAAACCATTAGTGTAGTAGATTAAAAAATGGCATTGGATCTGGATCCACTCTTTTCTTGTCATTGTTGCCTTTGAGGCGTAAATTACTTAAACTTTTAACCTCAGTTTCTTTATCTGTAAAGCTGGGTCAAAAATATCTGCTTTGTGCTTTGGGGAAGGTTGAAGGCAACATATGTAAAGGATCTGCTAAAGTCCTGGTTATAGAAGAACCTCAGTAGCTGGATATGGATATTCATGTATCAGTGTTGGCAAAACAGACACTAGCCCCATTACTTGATGATTATTTAGGGACAATATAGAAAATATCTACATTTTCCATAATAGAAAAGCTATTGAATAACTGTTTCCAAATATTGCCTCAATTCTGTACCGTTGTCATGTTTAGATACCATGTTAATTCAAGTTGTTTTCTCTAGAAAAGAACCTATGGAGGAATGCATTGAAGTGTCTAGCAGTGGTGATATTAACTTTATTTAGGTACAGCCCTCCAATTATTTATGTGTGTAGAAAGAGTTCATCACTATCTGATGCTGGAAAAAGATATATTGTTCCATAAAAATTAAAAATCCAAGTCAAGGAATTTAATCTTTCCTGTAAAAAGTTAATATTTATACTATTCTACATTTGTATACAATTCAATAGTTTATAATCCTAGATTGCAATCCTTATGAAGTTAAAAATGTGCATTGCCTTTCTGGATAGAACTGAATCTGATAGCAATAAATTGAAATGAAAGCTAAGTCAAATTAATAGAAAAATAGCTGGAGAAGTATGATAAAATCCCCAAACAAAGAGAGGATAATCTAATGTAAGGAACTATAAAAATGTTCAATTCATTGTAGTACACACCATATTCAGGATTTATGGTCAAGAGAGACTATATGAGGACAGAAAACATTGTTATAGAAGTGAAAATAATTTGAAATAGTATTAAATTTTTTTTTTTTTTACCAACTCCTCTGAGCTTAGGATAGTGCCCTAAAAGCAAAAAGATAAACACAAACTGTTAGACACATTTTAATATATTTGTAGTAATATATGTACAACATGACTGGGAAACTTAAAATACTTTCAAAGGTTATAGAGATTTTGCATTTCCAATAAAATGTTAAACTGCCTTATGATCTATATTACAAAACTCAAGTCAGTATATGATGGGAGACTGCTAACATTCATTCTTTGAGTAATACGACATCATCTCCATCCAAAAATTATATATTTTTCTATCATTAAGTGGATGTTCATTGAAGAAAACTTACGCAGAAAGCAAACTCTTGTGATTATCAGTGTCCATACAGTGCAAAGTACATTGAAAACCTCACAACTATCTAGTGAATTGAGGTGAGAATAAATATTTCACACCAAGGTGATTTAAAATCAAGACAATATTAAGCATAATTTTACCTGGGCTCCAAGTTGTGTGACAAAAATTGGTAACATCTGAAAAAATTAGAGAAAAATTCATTCAAAAGTTCTGGAACATGGCATAAATATTGATACTTTTTTTTTTTTTAGATGGAGTCTCGCTGTATTGCCCAGGCTGGAGTGCAGTGGTATGGTCTCGGCTCACTGCAACCTCCGCATCCTGGGTTCAAGCGATGCCTCAGCCTCCTGAGTAGCTGGGATTACAGGCGCCTGCCACCATGCCTGGCTAATTTTTTGTATTTTTGCTAGAGACCGGGTTTCACCATGTTGGCCAGGCTGGTCTTGAACTCCTGACCTCGTGATCCGCCTGCCTCAGCCTCCCAAAGCTCTGGGATTACAGGTGTGAGCCACTGGGCCCAGCCATTGATAACTTCTTAAAAGGATACAGTATCTGTTAAACAGATATTTGTTACTAATGTATTATCTATAATCATAGATATAAATTCATAGATCTGGATGGGAGTTTGGAACTTTTCCAATTTGTAAAAAGAAGATCAGTCCCAGAGAGATTTAGAAACCAGTTCAAGGTAGCACATTGAGAAGATAGAAGTTAGTAAACTGGATGAACGAAAAAAATAATTGGTCTCAAGAAATCTCCAAACTGAAAATTATTTCAAGTAACAATAACATTAAAATTTACAGATTTCTTTCATATGGCATCTCAGAAGACACATTAAAACATGTGATGGGTATTTTCAAATATGAGATTTCTTGAGGCATAGACATTTAGTCTTGCAATAGTTGCCTGGACATTTTGCTGTTAAAGTAAGGCAATTATGGGGAATATTGCTCAGTAACCCCTGACATTGGCATAGCTCTTAGAACTAGGCAAGAAATAATTCAAGGGTCACTGATAACTAAATATTATAAATTTAGTTATAAAAAGATGAAAAAGATTTGAGTGAGGTGTTGGCATGCTCCAGTACTCTCTGCTACTCTGAGAACTGGCCTGAAGTTTGTCAAAGAAAGCTAAGGTTTTACAAATTTATTCTTATTTCTATAGAAAATTCAAAGTGTCAGGAAAGTCATCAAAATGGGACTCTTAATTTCATAATTACCAAACCAGAAGATTTGAAAGTCTTATGAAATAGACTCTTAACTATTGTTTCCCAAGACAGTTGGTGCAGGAATTATGGAACTATGGAATGTCAATAAGGAAAAATTACATACATTTATGAAAAAGGCTTACTCACAATCAGGTGCTTGTCTACTGACAAAAAAGGGGCAACAGAACAGGAACAAAAAACCCAGCTAGCCTTCACGTTGGCAATGGGAAAGTGGTTGGTACATTTTGGATTTAAGAGAAGATGAAATGGAATTTCTTCTTTAATGGGAAGTTGGAATGGAAAGAACAAAAAGATAAAAAGAGGAAAGCATAGATGTCTACGTAAAAACTGTAATGAAAGGTACTCTAATTGTTTACCAATATTATGATAAAGGAGACTTTTTTCTTAGTTGTCGGTAGAGAAATTATTTGAAATTGTAATAGCTAACACATCGCATATTTACTATGCGGTAGGCATTGTTTTGAGTGTTTTCCATATATTTACTACTTGATCTTTGCAATAGCTGTAGAGGAAGGTTCTATTGTAATGCCCATTTTAAATTTTGAGCAAATTGAGCCACAGAGTGGTTAAGTAACTTGGCCAACATCATGTAAGTAGTAAGTGTAGAGCTGACATTTAACCAGAAATCGTGTGGTTCTAGAGTTCACCAACATGGTTCAACTTTCTTTGATAAATGCGAGCCACCAGTAGGTGTCCGGGTTGTGGCAGAGATAAGAAGACACTCTGCACAGGGAAAGGCAGGGTAGGAGGGACTAGAGCTGCCCAGGGGAAGGTCAGATATGGGAACCCTTGGTGGTAGCATGGCCTAGAGACATTGAAGAATTCCCACAGCAAATGGGGACTGATTTACAATATTGCATAGAGAGTGTACAACGTGAAACTCTCTATACTGAAACTTTTGTAGCATCTCCAGGCTCCACTAATGCCTTGACTTAGGAGGATACTCTCTGGGGAACGTGAAGATGTATTAAGTCTACCTTCAAGGTAGGCAATCGGTATGTAGATTATACTATGATCACCCATTACAGAGAGTCTCTTTTTGTTTGCATCTTAAATCTTTTTCAGAGGGTCACTTTTATGATCCAAATTTTTATTATCAAGATACTTTTTGTGTCTTTGGCCCCAGAAATTCTATTCCTAAGAGTTGGTCCAAGGAAATAGTCACTGGAATACTCATAGACTTAGTCACAAGGATGCTTACTGTAGCGTTGTTTATAGAAGCAAAGACTTTGGAAAAATCCCCAAATTTTCATAATAAGTAATTTAGTATACCATGGAATACTAAGAGGTCATTAAAAACAACATTGTAAGTGAATATTTTAAAACATGAAAGCTGTTCAAAATATATTTGTGGAAAAAAGCATGTTACAAAACATTAAATATAGCAAAAACATTTTCTTTAAAAATATACATATAGAAAAAAGACTGGAAGGACATACTCTAGAATGTTGACGGTGTTTGATTATGGCTAATGAGATTCCAAGTGTATTTTATTTTAGTTTTTGCTTATATGTAAATTTTAGAAAATTTGCATTTCCTAGATTCTTTAAAATTAACATATATTGCTTACACAATAATAAATGCTTCTACAAAAAATTAGACCATTATGTTGAATAGTGGGGACTGAGGTCACATGTTGGGGAGAATAAGTTATCTACAAACAACTTAGTCTTGCTGTGAAAGGATTATTGTATTTTCCTCCAGGGGCATTCTTTTCTTTTTCTTTTTTTTTGAGACAGAATGCCCCTCCATCACCCAGGATGGAGTGCAGTGACACAGTCGTTGCTCACTGCAACCTTGACCGCCTTTACTCAAGCAATCCTCCCACCTCAGCCTCCCGAGTAACTGGGACTATAGATGTGCCCCACCGCGCCCAGCTATTTATTTTATTTTATTTTTTGTAGAGATAAGTCTCACTATGTTGTCCTGGCTGGTCTCAAATGCCTGGGTTCAAGTGATCCTACTGCCTTGGCCTTCCAAAGTGCTGGGATTACAGCATGGGCCACTGCACCCAGGCCCTCTGGAGCCTATTACGCTATTTAGAAAAGTTTCAAGAAGGTAAAGATTTGGAATTTGTTCAATGTTAAAATCCAAGCACTTCAAAAACAGGTGATGCCTTAAGTTTATATCTTAGTGTAAGAGGATTTTCAGGGTTTTTTTTTTTTTTTTGAAAGCAAGTGATAGTGGGAGGTGGTAAATGGTAAATACTGAAAAGTCCTTGGGGACTTTCAAGGGGGAATTAAAAAAAGGGCACAAAAATGGGAAGATTAGATTTGCTGAAGATAAACTTTATCCACCTCTTAATTTTTCTTTGAGATGATCTTGGTCACCCAGAAAGTCTTCAAGAGAAAACAATATGCTAGAAAAAATTCTAGGATCTCTCAACTTCCCCCCATATATTTTTCACTTTTCAATCTTCCCCAACTTTTCAAGGTTTCCTGTTTTCCATTAAAATTATATTCTAGAGAGGTTGTGGTGTAGCATGGTCAGTTCTCTGGGTAAGTTTTCATGAATTTTCATTAAGAACCAGATTGTCAAATACTGTTCTATGTTCAGTAGAACATTCGTCAGCTAATAATCCAGGCAAAATTTTCAAGAAGCTTTAAAAAATTCTGTTTCTACTGTAGGCTTTCACCTGAGAGAAAATGCTCTCTAATGTTGAAACTAAAGTCCAGCTGTTCAACTTACATGTGGTTGCAGTTGCTGTTGTAAATTCAACACTCCCAGGGTCAATGGGTGGGCCTGGGTACCAGGTGTCATTCCTGCAGCAGGATTTAACTGTAGGGCAAGGAAGAAGACTTTCATTGTATTTTTTTTTTTTTCAGTTTGGATATTTAGGAAACTAAAATGTTTTTACTAAATGTAAAATATATTTAAAGGAAGGATTTGCTATATAAATACATAGTATTCTATTGCATGTATACTTAGACACAAAGATGAAATTTAAAGACTTATTTAGTCTGCTGGTACAACCATAGGGGCTATTGCTAACTTTTCCCCTGTTAAGTTTTTCTTTGGCATTTAACCTCTTCTGTTTGAGAATTACTTAGTTGATTTATTTGTATCCTTGCTTTCCCTTTTTGGCTACAAGAGTAATTGTTCCTGAAAATTTTCTGATAGCTGTTTTACAATTAAGAAATTAACTCCTCTAGGTTATGCGTGAAAATTTTGAGGTTCAGAATACATATTTTGTCTGGAACATGAACTATATTTAAATTTGACCACTAAAAAGTCTACTTTAAGTCAGGAAAGAAACTTATTTTTCTTCCCAAACAGATTATACAGATATTCTGTGAGAAGACTGAAGATCTGTACAGATATTCTATAAGAAGACACTGAAGATTTTTCTATCTCTTTCAGTTTGCTCCTGTCATTGGGGGTGATAATAGCAGTGATAGTGTTTATGTGGATGTGGGGATGCTGTAGGGGCATTAAGGAAGGTATGGTGGAGGAATTGAGAGAGGAGGAGAAGAGGATAGAGAAACTGGGGAAGGAAAGAATTAGATCCATTTGTTTAGAGACTCTCTTGCTAAGAAAAACTTAATGATGTCCAACTCTCTTGGACTCTTCTCTCCTCTCTTTCAACTTATCTAGGTGAATACGTATGTGTGTGTTTTCATTTGTGGATATACACATCCATATCCATGCTCCCCCCACCATAACATTAGGCATTATATTTATTTCACAATGGGTATTAAAATGATATAAAAGATCACTTACCAGATGCAGATCTGGCCCCAGTGTGAGCATCTGTGTTAATGGTATCAGACTTAAAGAAGGAAAGACCTGCAGGGGATTAAAAGTGATGTGTGAGACAAGAGGTTGCCTGCTTCCCTTACTCTGTCAGTGATGGATAACCTCATGTAATTGACACTCCTGTCAGAAGTGGATTTATCATGAAAGTAGATAAAGATGAAGCCTCGGGGCCTTTTAGTAGCATTGCCTTGTTTGTGGCCCCGGGAGGTCCCCTAGCTATGTCTCAAGCTTACGGTACTTATCAGCTTCAGAAAATTTGTGATTTACTCTTATTTCTTATCACATTATAAATATTTATTTCAGTACTTAATTTTACATATCTAATTTTGTATTCTTTTTCTTAAAGAGGGTTCCCAAATTGTATAAGATTCAGTCTCCTTAAGAAGGGAGAATAGTTCTTGACTTGAGTGTTCTGTTGACTAAGGAGAAGACTTTAGACTCTAGTGTTATCTGATTGTACTACTTCACAAAATGTAGAAGTAGGTAAGCCACGGTCCTTCATGGTAGAGGAAGAGTTGAAGTGGGAGGGAGCGTAGTTGCTGAAAGATATTGCAGTTTTCAAAAGTATTTACGCTTTGAAGAAACAGATTAAATAGCAACACATCAACACATCAACAACAATGAAACTTTACAAAACCAGGAGGAAATCTGCAGTTATTTTTTATAGATCACCTCTGATTCCCTGCTATTGCTAGCAAATACTGCATATGATAATGCCATGGTACCTCAAGGCCATAGATGTCCAAGCTTTGCAAATAGACACAGTTATTCCTTTTCAAAGTTGACTAGATTTCACTGCTAAACCAAATTATTATTTAGATAAAAGGAAAAAGAATTAGAGTGCTTTACTTTTCCTATGCAAATTTTTCAGAAAATTATATCAGTTCTTTTCCCCACTCCCAAATGAAAAGCCTCTCTCTCTTGTTCAGTCTTGTACAGTCTTCATGTAAATTTTGATTTTAAACCTACCAGTCTTAATGTGTTTTCTTTACCGGTTTGTACACGTTCCCTATTGTAGGACTCTTACCTGATTTGACTGCTGTTGGTTTGGTAGTGTTCCCTGATCCGGAGCCAGTTTTGTGGGAGGGAGTCCCAAAGCAGGTTTGAGCTGCTTTTGTGAAAACAAATACATATTTGATGAGGCAGGAATGTGTTTAAGATTTTGTATCCGTTTATATCCAGGTTGCCCCCAATGCAAAAATGTCTATATTAAGGCTTTGAGTATTTTAGAATTCCCTGAAACATTATGTGCATGGTAATTGTAGAGTGGAAAAATGTAATTGTAGAGTGGAAAAATGCCAGCCCAGGAGGGGTGGGATGGTGTGGGGGCACAGGGGCTGGGATGCACCTGAGCACCTGGGATATCTTGTGGTGGTTCCTGGCTCCCATTTCTTTTCTTGTACCTGCCTTTATCTTTTGCCAGGACATGAATATATAATCTGTACGTTAGCTCTGTGCACATTTGCTTTTTCTCAGGGCTTGAGGTAAGCTGCTGTCATTCTTACTACCTTTTCATGAAGCTTCCCACTTTTGCCATGCCTGCCACATCACTCTTGTAACAGAAGTTCAGTTTTCTTTCTGGCCTGGATATTTTATTAGTGTATTAAAAATCACTGAATTTTAGATATGAAAATATTCCTCCTACACATTTAGTCTAGTTACATTATTTTGTCTAATAGATGAGGCAACTGATGCTTACAGTAAACTGCCCAAGGTGACATAGTGAGCAGCAGAGCCAGTGGTAGATCCCTGTAAGTGCTCTTAGTCTCCAAATAAAAATGCTTCTCTTTTGGCAGGTTGACCAAATCTGCTTTTGCTCCTGGAGGCATCCTGGAAGGCACAGGGGTGGGGTCCTCTGGCTCTGCAGCAGACCTTGAGTCATCTAAGGTTACTCTGGAGCAGTTCTGGTTTCACATTGGAGTTTCCCCTTAGTGATGAGGCGAGGTTGGGGCTGGGTACCGTGGCTCACACCTGTAATCCCAGCACTTTGGAAGGCCAAGGCAGGAGGATCACTTGAGGTTAGGAGTTTAGGACCAGCTTGGCTAACATGGTGAAACCCTGTCTTTACTAAAAATACAAAAAGCTGCTTGGGAGGTTGAGGCAGGAGAATCGCTTGAACCCAGGAGCAGGAGGTTACAGAGCGAGACTATATCTCAAAAAAAAAAAAAAAAAAAAAAAAAGAAAAAAAAGGAGAGGTTGGTATTACCTGTTCTAGGAGGTCCCTTTTAGCTTTAAGATTATGTATATATTTCATAAGTAAGTCTTTTCATCTCCCACAATCTATTGTTAGCATAGCAGCCAGAGTGACCCTATCTTGTCGCTCCTCTGCTCAGTCCCTGCAATGACTACCTTTTTTTTTCTTTTCTTTCTTTGCTTTTTTTTTTTTTTTGAGATGGAGTCTTGTTCTTTCATCCAGGCTGGAGTGCAGTGGCGTGACCTCAGCTCACTGTAACCTCCACCTCCTGGGTTCAAATGATTCTCCTGCCTCAGCCTCCTGAGTAGCTGGGATTACCAGTGCACACCACCACATCCAGCTCATTTTTGTATTTTTCGTAGAGATGGGGTTTCACCATATTGGTCAGGCTGGTCTTGAACTTCTGACCTCAAGTTATTTGCCCACCTTGGCCTCCCAAAGTGTTGGGATTACAGGCGTGAGCCACCGTGTCTGGCCAACGACTGTCAATTTCACTCAGAGTAAAAGCCAGATACCCCACAGTGGTCTACAGGGTCTTCATGATCCGGGCCCCCAGTAGCTCTCTGATCTTTCCCACCTCATTTCCTTTCCCTCACTCTGCTCTGGCCATCCAGCCTTTTTGCTGTTTCTGGGACAGGTAAAGTCCATTCCTGCTTCAGAATTTCGCCTCCACCTGTTCCCTCTGTCTGGAATGTTCTTTCCCTAGACATTAGCTTCACTCTCTCACCTGCTTCTTTATTAAGGCCAAACCTGACTGCTGTCCTGAATATGCAGCCTGCCCCTTCTCCACTGTGCACCACCAGCCTGCTCCATCTCACCCTGCTCTGGGGTCTTTTTTATGTAGTGCCCACCACCTTCTATCCTGTCATGTGACCTACTGATTTAGACTGCTCACCATTTATCATTTGTTTCCTTGCTAAAATATAGACTTCACAAGGGTGGCAACACTGTGGTTTATTCAGTGATCTATCTCAAGAAGATAAATCCATGTCTGGTGTATAGTAAGCACTCAACAAGTATTTGTTGGAGGAATAAAATCTTGTTTTCTTCTAGGGCCTACACTTTCTGTGACTTTGATTTGTCTTATATTTGTTTTTTCTAACATTATATTTTCCATCTGATACTTTTCCTCAAACTTTTGATCTACTGAAAATAATTGCTAGGCTGTTGTATGTGTCCACATTTGCAAATGGATTCACTCTTTATAACTTTATGCTAACTCAATAAATTCATTTAGAAATAGTAAAAAATACCTTGTCTCTGTGTCCTGATGTTTCATTTGGTATTGTTTCTATACTGAAGAGACGTTTCAGTGTCGCCTCCCTGCTGCCCTACTCCACTAACTCTCTAGCTGCTCTCATTGTCTATTAGCAATTTGCCGTAGCCTACACAGCAGGCCTGCTCCACCCCAGCCCACTTCACATGAGAGTTGCGCTCCTGGAAAGTTTTGCTTATTTTGAGTTTTCACCAATTATGTGGTAATTTAAATATACTAAAGAAACTGTATTTTGAAGAATCTTTTGGTAACTGTATTTGGCGAAGTGAAAGAACCATTTGTTCTATAAAAAAATTAACTTCATACTTTATCTTGTTTAGGAAATTAAACTTTTACAGACAACTTCTTTCAAGGGGGACACACACACACACACACACACACACGCATATATTTGGGATAAAGTAAGAAGGAGGTTGGCTACTGTATCTTGTTTCATCCTTCCCCCGTGTAATCCTACCCTGTTCATTTCCTTCACATAACTCATCACAGTTATTATTTATAATTTAACATTTCTTTAAAAATCATTTGAGTAAAAAATAAAAAATTGGCAAGAGATACTGGTAAAAATAAAAAAGTTAAAAAAATAAAAAAATTGATTAATGTCTACAATCCTTGTGACACCATGAAGGATCATGCCTTTTTCTTCCTTCTCACTATTGTTTCTTCAGCACCTAGCACAATGTCTGGCATATATAAAGTTTTTAATAAATATTTGTTGATTGTATGAATGGATGCCGAAGTTTTGAGTAAGCTTGAGGCCCAACTAAGTATGCTTTCTTTTATTCTGTTATTTTATAGCAAGTATATTGTAATTTTTTTCTTAATGGTCTTGAACCATCTTGAACAGTCAAAGAGAAGTCCACCTAGAGATCCAAACCATTCTTCTCTATGTGTACAAAATAATGGAGCAAATGTTGGAGTTCTAGTGCTTTTTTATTTTTTCCTGTTATATGTGAATACTATTTATGATGAAATGTTCTAAGTCAAAAATTTTGATCATTTTAATCATATGCCTTTGGTATCATATGTTTTCGTGGTCTTTTTTTAGAATTTATACAATGTAGATATTTAGTGTTTCCAAGTAGACAAATTAGAAAATATAGTCTTTGTTTATGAGCAAATAACTAGTTGCCAAGAAAAAATTTCTTTTTGGAAAATAAAATAATCATCCACTTAAGGCATTCATTTGTCTCCTAATTTCTAGCCTATTGCTCTGCCAAAATAATTGACCTTTTACCACGATGGAGTGGATGCATTTAAAAAATACAAGTGCATTGAAATATGTACCAACAACTTATTAGCTTGTCATTTTCTGCCTTGCAAAATAAACACTGGACACTGTCAGGGAATGAGTCACAAAACAGAGCAGTTTTGATGGAGGGCAGGAGAGAGGTAGGTCTGCAACTAGAGATGCTGTTGAAGCTGGCTGGCATATAAAACAAACATAACATACTTACTGGTAATGACTGAGTTGATCCTAGAAGGCAAAACAGTAGAATCATAGTCTTCATGTTTCAAATTGCTGCCTACAATAATAAAACAGTGTTACTCTTCCACTGTATTTTTTTCCTTTTAAGAGAAAATGATACTTTAAAAACGAATGTTCTACTTGAAACATGGTCAATTAATGTTACCTTTGTGTCCAGGAAGCAAAATGTATAATACTTAAGGTCCAGTTGATTTCTCAAGTTTACTCTGGTGAAAAATTTTACCCTTCAATGATGTATGTGTTTGTAGAAGAAATTTAAACTCAGTTCCAGGAGACTGGAAACTGAGAGACCAATCAGGATTTAGCTGTCTGTTAAATCATTTGGTTTTCTTCATTTCCCAACACTTCATTAGGTGGGTTATTAGCTGCAGACATGATATTACCCAATGTCTACCATTTGAATAGAAGGTGTTTCAGGGAGACATACCTTATGTAATTAAAAAAAGATGCAGACAATAAAATAATTTAAATGCTTCTTCACCTCCCTCTTCTTCCCAAATGATTTCTCAGATGTACGTGTTTTATCATGTAAGTATGAACACATAAATCAATCATCAAAATATAGGGTTCTGTGCCTAGTTAAAAAATGAAGTCTATTATGTAGATTGCTCTGGAACTTACGTTTCCTTACCAAATAATGGACAACTTTGTGTGTTAGTACATGCAGGTTTATTTTATTTAATGGGTACACAACATTATATCATATCACATTTCTTTTTGATGGACATTTAATCCATTTCCATTTTATTTTGTAATTACAAAGGTGTCACAAGCACCATTCTTATAGAATCTTTTTTTCCACACATGTGGGAGTGTTTTTGTAGGTGTTATTCTTAGAAGTAATGTATCAAAGGATATGTACATTTTACATTTCAATAAATACGGCCAAATGGTGAATGGCTTGCTTTATATTAAACAGGGAAAATGATACTATTACCTAAACAAAACACAGGGAATCAACTGAGATTTCTTTTACAAGAAGAACAGTTAAGTGCTACTTAACATTTTACCATGAAGCCTTGGGCTTCACCTGGAATTTTTGAGATATGCCACAGAGGGAGGCGGGAGTCTGTTTATCAATTTCTGAGACCATATCAATGATGAGCCTGTGTTGCACCAGCATTTGGGATTTGATCTTTAAAAAACAAAAAAGTAAACCTGTAGAGTGTCTATTAATGGAAAATAAACTGAGATGATACATTTTTTTTGAAGCTTCTCTCTAACTGTTCGATTTATCTATATAATCAATGTTTGTTACTCTGATACTCTGCTAGGAATGGGGAACACTACGTAGGAGGAGAAACACAAGATCAACAAGTACGTGCAAATATAGGAGTATTCACAGGAGTGAGAAAGAGTGTGGTGAATTTTGTTGGGGACAAAGGACAGGAAAAGCTTAAAAGAGGAGATCATCCTTGAGTTGGGATTTGAAGAAAAAAAAATTATTAAGAACACAAGGAGAGCACCCAGGTCGATCAAAGGTCTAGATTTGAAGTAGTGACATTGTTTTCTGTCACTGGAACAAGATGGGGTGAGGATAGCAGTGGAAGACAGGATTGGAGATGACATCTAATTTTAACTATCTATAGCTTTTTTTGTTTGTTTCTATCACTGATTTTGGCACTTGGTCAGATATTACTTTATATGGCTCTTTTATTATTTCCTGACTTTTTGTTTCTCTTGAACTAGATGGAGAGTTCCTAGGGCCCCATCTTATATTTCTTCAGTCTTTCGTGTTTATAATATTTTAAAGCATCACATGGTCATTCAGTGTTGATGAGTAAGTGGTAAAGGCATATAATATGGGGAAACAGAGTAAGATTGAGTTAAGGGAAAATTTTAGAGAAGAGATTGGGCTTTAGGTGGATTTGGAGAATAAGTATAATCCATGAGACAGACTAGCATGTGAAAGCGATTGTTAATGAGAGGAGCAATGAAACATGGTGCTGAAGGATGTGGAAGGAAAGCAAATTAATGTTCTCATGGGCTTTCACAGGCAAATTCATTGTTTCTTTTATTCAATAAATTCGTTTTTCCAGCCCTCATTTAACATAGATTCACTCTTTGTTCACCAACATTGTGTCAGTCTCTGGGATAAAATAATTAATGGAAGGGACAAAAACTCTGCCCTCAAAGAGCTTAGGTTTTGTTGGGGGAAACATTAAATATTCAAGCAGGTCATTGCAAGAGAGGGACTCCGTGACACTGGGCATCTGCTTTCTTTGGGCATTATTTTCAGTGAATGTAGAGGGTTGGGAGCGTCCTATATCTATATGTTTTTTGGGTGGAGGTAGAGTTGAATTTTATGTCACTGTTGTTCTTGGCTTAGGTGAGGAGACCTGTGTTATAGTGCTAGTCTAGAGTATGGCTCTATTCAATAGCTCATTTGAACTGAATAATTCTTTGTGACTGGGCATCAGGTGATTTAGGAACCTCACAATGAGTCAACTGCTTGTTGCAGACATGACTCCAACCCTCAGCTGGAATCGGACATGCCCTAGCCAGGAAACTGAGCAGTCAGTGGGATTAGATCAAAATAAACAAGCAAAATTAAGAAGACTGAGTAATTTCTTAGACAAGAAATTTTAAGTCTGAAAGCAGATAACTTGCAATAATGTAATTACGGAGTTGAGAGTCCAGAAATACATATTGTAAAAGGAAAAAAATTCTTAAATCATTCCAAGACAAGGAGACATCAGCAAAAAGAGTGAGATAATTTATGTTTCCAAAATGACATAGAACATCAGAATTCATTCAAGTGTTTTATGAACTATAGGACACATCTTTTAGCCCTTTAGGTCTAGGCATTCCTTAATCTTATTAGCTTTAGTTGTAAGTTTCTTTGGGTTATGGACCCTTTTGAGAAGCTGAATGCACATATCATCTCCTCAGAAAAATGCATATGTGCTCATGAATATAATGATTATGAAATAACCTCAGGGATTTCATGGATCTCCTGAGAGCCCAACTATAAAGAAACAGGTTAAAAATCTCTGGGTTAGGGGAGTCTTGGTGGAATTCCTTAGTGATTTGTATCATCCCTGAGCTTTCTAGGATTTCTCAAGGCAAGAAACATACCCCCTTTCCAACTCCATCACACTCAGTGGATGTAGGAAGATCTAGGATTACCCAGACCTGAGACACTCTTTATGAATCTCAGTCTAAGAGCATCTTTTTGGCAGTGAAAGGATAAAACAGACTGAACATTTTGTATATTTCCTTATACCACTTGGTAACTCACCACAACGTCAAAAGGATTCAGCACACAAGATTATTATTAATTATAGTAATAGCTTGATTGAACAGAAGCCTCCACTGTACTGGACAAGGTATTGTACAAGGTGCTAGGGTACAAAAGTGAATAAGATGAAGCCCTTATTTATGTTCTTGTGGAAAATGCAGCAAGTATTGTATCACTGTATAATGTGGTAGAGGCAAAGCGGATGTATGCACAAAAGGTCAGAAAAGAGCCACGTTGCATTTTGATCTTATTTTTCTGCATTCGTTCATGTTATTTCCTCTGCCTGGACTCCTCTTTTTCATCCCTGACTGTCAATGTTTTACTCACCCTTAAAGATCCTTCTTAACGCTACCACCTTCATGAAGTCTTTCTTTTTTTCCCCTCATTTGGAGTTAGCCTTTTCTTTCTCTGAGATGCTTTTGGAATTCATGACTTTCTTATTTTTTTTTTATTCTACCTCACCTGATGCCATTGTTATTTGATTACTGTTTTGGGATATTAAATTTCAAGGAAGATTATATGTTTTGATATTTTCTTTAGTTCTCAGCTTGTGTGTTGATAGAACAATAAATATACATTTACAAAATTATTTAAGATTGTCAACCAGTTCTTATGACCCCAGAGGAATCTAGGACTTATGCTTGGAGGCCAGAAGTAGAGCCAGTTCTCTATGGAGAAGTTTAGTAGGTGCCCGAAAAACAGCCACTGAATTAAATGTATCTAAAATTCTACTAAATAGATCAAACCATATATGTTTTTACTAATCTTTTAAAGTTTTGCTCAGAAGGAGTATCAGGAAACTATGTTCAGACTTCTCGGCAGATTGAATTGACCTTTGTCATAAGTGATAAAGTTCAGTGTACAGTGTCATTACAAATGTGGATATATTATACCGAATTTACTCATGAAACAGGGTTAAGCTTGAAAGAGTGTGGCAACTTTGTATTCTTTCTATGTAGACATATTTCTTTCTTCTTTGTTTCTTTTTTTTTTTGAGACAGTATCTCCCTCTGTCTCCCAGGGTGGAGTGCAGTGGCGCTATCCTGGTTCACTGCAGCCTTGACTTCCCCAGCTCAGGTAATTCTCCCACCTCAGCCTCCCAAGTAGCTGGACTACAGGTGTGCACCACCACATCTGGCTAATTTTTTGTAGAGATAGATTTCATGATGTTGAACTTCTGGGTTTAAGCAATCCTCCTGCCTCAGCCTCCCAAAGTGTTGGGATTATAGGCATGAGCCACTGCACCTGGCCTATGTAGAAATATTGCAACTCAACACTAGAATTACACACTCATGGAATTAAAAAAATAAGCTTGGGTGTAATATTTAAAATAGGAAAGAACACCCTGCAAATGGGCAACAGATGAGGATGCTGAAGGGAAGGTAAGAGAGGCAGTACTAGTGTGAGGAATTAATTCATGATTTCAGTGTTTAATGCTTTAGGTAAGGGTAAGAAAAGTTTTGGGAATTTATATTCTTTGAGTTGATACTGTCAATTGGGCAGTTACTTTCGGTTTTGTAGACACAGTTGAGAAAATTTGTAACTTCAAAGTCAAATGGAAGGTCAGTATGTATTTTGTGGTGTCATAAGTTTCTGTGATTTCAAAGTTGGATGCCGAGTCAATGTATAGTTTGGTGCCATTATAGGGAGGAACCTTTGTTTCAAAGTTGCTGTTGTATATGACAGCTTCTGGGATGTTATAGGATAATGTGGTTTGATTTATGATTGTAGCAGGTGATAGCATGGGAGTTATAGTTAAAACTGGAGTTGCAGATGTGGTGGTAGAAGTTGCTTTAGAAGTAGTG